TATTTAAGTTTATAATCATTACAACTGCAAAATATATAGCATAGTACACAATTATATAATCGTTATTATGATCTAATCTAATTTTTTAATGAATAGAAATTAATTTCTACTATAATATCGAGCTTTGATTTATTTATTTTTTAATATTTTCTAGTCATGTACTGATTGCTATACTGCCTATTAAAATGTAATCAACAATAAAGTTTATTTTTCTCTGTTAAATTTGTTATTCCCGTTTAATGTATCAACATATATCAAATTAATTGTTATTGTCAAATATTTACATTTTTTAGGAGGGAGTGTAAAAAAAAATTAGCACCAGGGAGTGAAGTTGCTGAGTGCTTATATAATATACAATGCGTACACGGTATCAACACATTCGTAAATAAATTGTTATACTACGCTTTTGTGTTTAAATATTATTACGATCTCAAAGGGACATCGTGCTAGTCTTTATCACAACAAGTATAATAATAATATTAATAAAAAAAATAATAATATTATGTTTTATTGTGGCATGTAGACGCCATTGTTGATCACCATTATATTGTGCACTATAAATATATACGACTTTAAATTAGCACGCACCCGTCGGTAGCCCTGATTTTAATACTGAAATATCTATTGAAAATTGTTTTACAAGTTAATATATTATGATTTAATTATAATACCAATAAACAAATACATTTTTGAAATGTCCTCACTACATATTTATTTCGATCAAGCGTGGCTGATTTAAATACAAATTAATTAAATATGAATATCAACTCAATTGTGGTTTGTGAAATACGTGGTACGTAAAGTGTTAATATTGAAAATGAAACATATTTGTGATTTATGCTAAGGAGGTGAGTTATGAATGACCATACTGAAAATCAAAACTAATAAGGTTCCGTTAATTGTATAATACACAAATAGTTCAACAATTTGTTTCAGTTGTACAATTTCTTTACGATATTATTCTACTTAGTTTTGTGTTTCCTCTACCTATTTAAATTCACTAGTTCCGTCATAAGAATAACAATACATAAATATGTTTCGCACTGTCACGTAGTTTAAACCATGATCAATATAAAACATTATAAAAGTATTTCTACAATGATATTGAATATCATGTTATTATTCAGTTGTGTATCATTATCGTGCAAAATAATAAAATTACTGAAAACTGTTACTTATTCAACAGTAAAAAGTTAGATATTAAGCGTCAAAAATAATACAATCTTTTATTTTGGTGTATTGAATATGATAACAAGGTGGCCAATGGAAATTCTAATAGATATCGTTGTAGTTGTTATTCCTCAGCATAATATTATTATATCAATTTCAATGAGAGAGATATACTTTTTTGATACTATAGCATTGGTCAACAAATGTCACGAATTTTATTGGGCCCGCCGCGCCAACAGGAAATCTATTTTTTTTAATTATTAAGTTTTCTTATAATTTGTTATAATTTGGTTTTTTTAATTTTTCCTCGACTTTCTTTGATTCAGCATATAAATTGAATTGTATAAACATCAAAACTTCCTGAGTTGCTAATGTGGTGCTCCAAAAATATTAAATGTTGACTTACACTATAGTATATAGACACAGAGGAATATTATATTAGGCACAAATTCATTTCTTTAAAGATTATTTTCAAAAAAACAAGACTATGGAAATAATAAAACAATTTAATCTTTAAATTAATTTTTGCCAGAACCTTAATTGCTGTTTTTGTTTATTGTTTTCCAACAGAGTAGGAACAAAACAATTTCATTGCACGAGTTACATATTTTATCTATGGTGTTTTTGAAAAACATTAATCAATTATAAGAGCAGCGTATATATCATGACATATCTATTAATTAGTATAGATTATATTATTATTTGAGAAAAACATATTATTTACTTTGGTGAACGGAAAAAGAAAAAATTGTCTTATTTTTTGAATTACCTACCGGCAAAGGGTCAATTACAAGATCAAGGTTGGACCCTCTACAACTGCCGGCTTCGACTGTAATATGCGACATCGTGTATATATGTTTAGCACGTTCACTAGCGTATTGATAGTCCGACCAATTGATGTCGTCTGCCGAACGACCTTTGGCTCAAATTTCTTTATAATAATATGTGTGCGTGCTTACGTGTACGACATTATCATTTTTTTTTGTTTTTAATAAACCACTAAAGTTCTAATTTATATTTCTAAGTTTTCATATCACGTATATAGAATCGGCCAAACCTTGCCACCTGCGCAAATTTGCATTCCCATCGTGCGACTGTATTATAATATATTATAATACCTCTCGCAGCGTGTGTACACATTAACGAGTTTTCCAATAATTCCTGTAATAGATGCACAATGTTTATGATCGATTAATCTACAGTAAGTGTATACCAAGGTCACAATCCTTCCCGCATCAATGGCCCATTTTAATATGCGAGGCGTGTAAGCGGAGAATCTTCGCGCCCGGAAGGTAGGCAAACAAACGGTTAACTACGTACAACTATGTTGCGTACATAAAGAAATTCAAGGAAATATGATATCATTTGGAGTCTAATACCTGGCATTATTGTTTTAAATCAAACGAAAATTTGATTGCGGCGAAGGTAGTTTGTATTTTGAGAGAACAAGTCTAGTATGCTATAAATTAAAATATTATATCCACAGGATGAAAGAGACGAACATATGTTATTAACATATTTTATCATGGTAATATTAATAATATGAAAAAAAACATCGAATGCTTCGATTATCGTTTTCGACGTATTGCGAAATAACGGAAATATAATCACAACATTGAATTTTATTGTGAAATTCTTAACTAAAATCATAATATTGAAAATACTAATACGTTGGAAATAAATCTCACAATTCTTATTATACTACTAAAGAAAAATCATATTTACCTGCAATCAAAAAATTAAGCTCGTCATCTAAAATGATCAATTTATATTATAAAATTGCAAGCGCATTGTTAGTTTTTTCTTTAAGGACAAAAACGATGCAACGATAAAAAGTAATATCCTTTAATAAGCAAATAATAACATTTTTGTCCACTGTAAAGACGATGGTCAAACTGATTTAATTTAGCATTTTTTTTATTAAATAAGATTACGGTTCACACAAATAATTCATAGTATTATAATACAATATACATAAAAAGAGATAATAATCGAAGAAAAAACTTCAAACATGAAGGGCGTGTACTGAATTCGCTATAGGTTGTAGGTAGAGTTCATTTTTAAAATAAATTACACAATAATTATTGAATAACACAGCATCATTGTAAAATATGTTCTATTTATAAAACTACGCCTTGTTAAAAAATGTTTCGTGAGTAAGACTAATTAGATAAACATACAATATAAAACCGTTCATTACACAGAGCTAAAATCTACAAATATTAATTAAATAACTTTTTTTTACCTCTCGTCAATATTCTTGTAAATTTGTTCGTAAAAATAGTCAACAATTCGACAATAATTTATGTTTAAGAAAAAACTAAAGTTAAAGTCTTAAAAACAAGATATAAACTTAAATCATTTAATTATGCATTCGATCTGATTAATGATCGGATGTTTTAGTTCTAATATTAATTTTTCTTTTGGAGTGTCTGGTAAATAAATGTTTGACATAAAACAGTTTCCATAGGTTGTAAGGTATGAAAATTTGAAGGAAAAAATCTCAACTTATAGATCTATAAAATAATATATAATTCTCTAGTTCTCGTCCTAGCTGTTAAATCCCTTCGTACTGCAGATCCTCATATAGACGAATATATTGATACATCGACCTCGCGAGACTGACCGTGAACGCGATGAACAACTCATACCATTATAACGAACCATGACCGGCGTGTAAAGTAGATAATAATTACAATACAATAATATGTGTGTCGTGGGATATTGCACAAATAACCTCCTATCTCGGCATCCGACTTGTATAATTTTTTTTCCAACCATTATTATTATTATTCTTTTACCTGTTCGCAATTGGCTTTTGTGTTTTTTCCCTCGTCGTCATCGTCGTCGTCGTCGTTAAATTCGTAATCGCCGTACATGGAGGGCCAGGCCCTCAACGACATGGTCCTGTTAAAGTGTTGGGCCATAACTCGGGTACGTGGACCGGACGACGAGACGCGGTGAAATAGACAACCGAGTACGATTGATATTAATATAAGTAGCTGACAGACGCGATTCACACGAAAACTGAGTGTATATTGATTATACATCAAATATTAGAATATTAATTGATGTAGTCGAAACGAGGTCGCTCCCCGTCTTACATCCATTAGGACTGGCGTTCACTCGTTTATTTGGGTCAGGGTGAAACGCAAAGCAAAATAACCCAATCGGAGTAGGGGATGCAAAAAAAAATAGAAAAAACCAAACATCCCAAACTTGGACTGCAATTTATTTAATTTATTTCTTCTCCTCAAACACACTATAATACTTCATAGACTTGGCCAACCAACGAAGTTAGTCTTGACTACTGACCAGGTAGAACAAATTATAACAATAGTTTCTATTGAATCTTTGGGCATAAATAATGACTCAGTTACAAGTTTCAGTTATGTAACTATAGATTACGTTGTAAAAGTTACGAGTTACGTACACAAATATTTAAATACGCTTATTATATTTTTAATACATGCTTGTAACTGCGCTTATTATCGAAATCTAAACGGAATTCGGCTTTGGGAAAAAATCAGGTAAAAGTCTTCGATACTAACTACATTCGGGTTCGAAAACTGGCACTACAATACACAGTTAATGAAAGATATTATGAAACTTATAACATCATTGTTGTCAATAAGAGCCGTTCTTCTTCTTTTACTAGTCACTAAACTAATATCAATCTAACCAAACAGTAATATTTGATATCACTAAGAATTATAGTTGGTTAAACGCAATTCGAGTAACGTAACCACCAGTCCCCGACTTAATATCTTTACAGTTAGAAATAAAAATAAAATTCTGTCTTTAGAAAAAAGTGTAAAGAATAACCTTACCTGTGGGACGTATGTGTTCTGCGGCGTCCGGATTTTGGCGGCGGACTTGAGGTCCTGGAGGAACACGTCGTCTTCATCGTCGTCGCGGTCGTCATCACAGTCGTCGTCGTCGTCGCTGCTCAAACGCTTTGCGGACACCTGTTCGGTGGCCTGTTTTTTCTTCAGTATCTGATCGATAAAGTTTGGCACCGTGGGCGTGGCCAGCCGGATGTTCAGCTCCTTCTGGCTGTGTATGGCGGCGTCTCGGCAGTGGCGACCGGTTAAAAAACCGTTGTTGGACGAGGCCGAGGCCGACAGTTGGGTGCCACCGCTGTTGCCCTGCCTGAGGAAAGCGTACTTCTTCTTCTTGACTTTGGCCGCATGGCTGTGTATGAGCGCCGCAGTCGAGCCCACCGTCGTATCCACCGAGGCGTTGGACGACATTGTGGACGCGAACACGGACTGCTCCGGCCTGGACCTGTGGTGTACGCTGTGGATCCGGGCTCCTTCACCGTAAAGCTCGGCCACTTGGTCCTCGCTGATGGGCATGTCCTAGACAGACAAACGCGATAGTATTAGTGGCGCCGCGATTGTAACAAGTCTCATGATAGTGCGAAAAAAATATTCGTGTCATGACCGAGGTATAATAATATATATTATTATACAATATGCCATATTGCAATACAGTGTGATCCCTTTTCAACACTCTCGGCGGCGTTTGGAAAAAGCTGGTTACGGGTGTTAGGTTTAGTTATAATTCTGCCTATGAGGTTAGACTAAATATAATAAAAACTAAAAAGTTCGGGTCAAGTTTGCGCGGATATTGGGATATTAACTAACCTTATATAGGATTACCTTGCTGCAGCAGTAATCTAACATTTTCCGAACTCAGCGATTGCATATTATATAGTGTGTCGTTGGATAAATTAATCACCCTGTATAGAAGGTGTCGATAAGACGGTGGCATTGTTAATCAGCCCAAATACGTATACTTACGCATGCCGCAACGATACGTATAAAACAACGTATGACGGGGGTTCGTGCGTGTTTTCGATGATCTTATCGGTCATAATAATATAGTATAATCGAGTCCTCGGAACAATATAAGCGCGATATCGTATCAGCCAGAGAACTTATGTTCAATATACCTAATACAGTAATATGTATGGAGTTTCGCCAGTGTATTTGAAGATTATCATCGCCACCTCTCCGCGATCCCCCCCCCCACCCCTCCCACCAGACTATCGACGAATCGGAAGACGCGCAGTCGAGCTGACTCGGGAGTATATTATTATTTTGCAATATTCGTGTCGCCAAAATGTATAAGTTATAATTGAGTCGCACATACCAAAGGCAGAGACAAGGTACATTGTAAATTTGTTCCGAAACGAGCCGAGAACAACACGGTGGTCGCAGTCACACTATAGATATTTTCATGAGATGATAATAATATATATTATACAATGTGTATGAACATTTTAAATAAATTGTTTACTAGTATAAAATACGTCTTAATAAATTTGCAGAGTAATTTTAAAATACGCAGACAAATATTCTCAGGCAATAACACTCGTGTCTCAAAATAATTATTATAATTATTACAGAAATTAATAATTATATACCTATTATGCCCGCACGTTGAAATCGGTGCAAATTTAAGATCCAGTATTAAATAGGTTAAAAAAACATCACATAATTCTTGTTTATATTCATTGCAATTTTATGCTACCCGAAAAAATATTGTTTGTATATCAGACAGATTGAAATATATGCTTGATTTTTAAAATTAAACGTGTATGGTTTATATTTTATATGTTTCCCGATTGTTTGAAAATTCGATAGATAATTTCTACTAATTACGATGTATTATTTTTTTGAAATCTTCATTTAGAAAATATACAATTTATGATCCAAGGCACAATACGCATATGACAACAGATAAATATTTTCATTTTTGTATTGTTAGTTTAATATAGATCACCAATTACATTTAAGTCGTCCTGGTAGGTTTCCTGGAAATGTTAGTGAGGGGGATTTTGGATTAGAGGTCCAGAGTGTGGAACTAACCTGTTGTGAAATATTTTATAAAATGTTTTTGTTTCTTCGTGCATTGATTTAAGTATCAGTAAGGGGAGGATCATCAGAAACACCATAAGGATATTTTCTACAAAGTCTGAATTTCATTGAGATTTAGTTTTTTGGCATTAGGTACCCAAAAGTCGGAGCCTGTAGTTTAAATATTAGGTTTGAGTATTGAGTAGTGTTTTGTAAATGAGTAATTTTGTTTTTAGGTTTCAATATTCATTTTTTACTAAGTAATATTGAGTTTAATATGCGAAATCTACTGTTCAAGCAAATTCACAATTTGCAAATTCACAAATTCAATTATGGATATGATATGCCCAAATTAGTCTGCGATCACATCTTAGCCAAGATGACTTGACTGTTTATGTTTTGGGGATTAAAGAGAGTGACCTTAGGACATGGGTGGATGCCGAGAGTAAATGTGGTATTAGTAGACTTTGTATGGATAGTATTATAGTAAATATTATGATGTCGGTCAAAATATTTAGAAATTAAATGATACATATTGTAATTTCATAATTTTGTATAAAGGTTATCAACATTATTATAGTACGAACCCTGAGAATAGCTTTTGACTTTGATTGCATATTATATTACTAGTAAATGTATAGTAATATTGGTCTATGATAATTCAAATAAAATGATATCAATATTAATTTAATTAATGCTTCTAATACAAGTGCAAAATGACTGTGTCTGATAATTCATCAAAGTAGCAACGTACAGTATAAGTTTTAAAAACAAAAACGTTTAATTAAAATGTTCTCTTCTTATCAGAAAATAATGTACCTACACAAAATAAATGGTAACTGTATTACAACTGTTAACCTGCGATCACTAAATATGTATACTGCATAGTATGACTTATAACTTTTTAAACAATAAATTATCGGTTTTCCGTTTCTCTTTTTAGAAAAAATGTCACTAAAGCATAACAAGAATAGCACACAGTATAGTTTCTATGCCTAAAATGAAAATGTTTGCATAAATTATGAAGAAAAAATGTGCGAATTTTATATTTTATGTTTGTATGTTTATATATTTGAATATACGATAAGGTTTTCAACATAAATTATTAAAAAAAATACACATGAATATTGAATATATATATTTTAAATTTCCTTATTTTTAGATAAATTATTTAAACAATGACCCAAGTCACACAATATTATACTCATGTTCATGCATGTAAACAATGACTGTAGGTACCTATGTCTGAAGTGCCATATTGTATATTTACTCAAGATAAAAGAAACGTATAGTATCTAAGTATTAAAAACTTACATATAATAATTTACAAATAATATAAACACTTAGGGGTAATTATCACTTTTTATTTTGCATATAATTTATTAATATATTAATTATTAATTCATTTCACAAATATTGAAATATCCTACGACTGTAATTTTTGAAAGTTTTTGCAGGTATTTTGTATAAATTGTTGAAACCAAATAAAATGTTCAATACTTAATTGTGTTTTCCTTGGCATTATAATATAATCCAAAAATATTTTTGTGAGAAAAAGTGCATTATAAGTTTTTAATGGAATTCAACTTGAAAAGCGAGTTAAAAAAAAGTTCAAAAATATTGAATTGTTTATTTCACGCATCTTCCTTAAAATATACTTCCTGCAAAAGCCAGGAATATATTTTTTAACCATATGCACACATTTTTTTTGCAAAATATGTGATATACATCACAAATTGTCCTTCGCAAAAAGAAAACGTGTACATACATTATTATTACAATAAAAAATACAAAATTACAATAAACCCACAAGCGAATTAACTCAAATTTTAATAAGCCTTACGTGCCAGAAACATCCGGATATAGATTATGTTATATACATCATGAAAAAAACGTCATTATCCGACCGATAGCGTGATTTATATTAAAGCGCATACATATAAATCTATTGCGGAGCGTTTGACAGATGCTGACAAGGACGACGCGTATAAATAAAAATTGGAAAAAAAAAATTCAAAACGATATTGACACTGTTTTATACTGCACCGTACTTAAAAGTTACAACCAGAATATATAAGTATTATAGCTGTTTACACGCACACGTGTGGTTTTGGGAAGAAAATATAATATGAATTTATTTATATTGTTACGCAAGATTCGCGGAAAAGAGTGTCTTTGACATTTCCGTGAAATACACTGGATTTTATAAAAAAAAAAAGAATTGTCTTAACAAATTTGTCATGATTATGTCAATCTACACATTTACATGCATTCATTTATTCTAGATAAACAATATTATTATTATTTCTGTACAAGCGTCGTTATACAGAGCGATTACACAAAGTGTCAGAGTGTTACAGTTCATCATGTCTGAATGAACGATTTTCAGAAATTAGAATATTAATTTGCGACTACGAACGAATGGTGGGAATTTTGAATTTGAATTCGTCCACACCAGTTTGATGTAAACATTTTAAATGTCCACACTAGTTTTATGTAAACATTTTAAACTCAAAATCTTCAACGCAATTGTTCTTGTGCGGCTTTGCTCTTGAAACCATAGTGTATATATACTGCAGTATTATGTATGTGAGCGGGATCGAAATTTTACACGGTTAGAGGTCGGATTATTTTATCGAACAATTTCTCAGTCTACGATGATAACGTCTTGCATAGAAAGCTGTGTTATCGGGTCCCCATAACCCCGGTTATGATTTTATTATAATATAATGACTTCTATTGAATACAATTTTTTATATAGGGTCGGAATAATAAATAAATATAAATGTACACAATATGTGCGTATATCGATACATAGATACATAAATATATCAAACGCCCAAATGGGTAAAAATATAAATCCCATGTCCCAAAATCATAAGAAATTAATATTTGTAAATATGGCGAAAATTGTACCTCGATTCCAAAAAACAAAAAGATTATTCTAGAATTTCAAGTAACAAAAATATGAATTATTATAATTCATTACTGAAATAAGCACTGATGAAAAATATTTGTTTTCTATAATATATATTTTAAACGCTGTGTATGCAAATTTCGCTCACGTTGTGTTACAACTTAAAAAATCACAAGTTGGTACTTATTTATGTGCGAGCATTTTAAACCTGCTTATTTCTTACATACAGATAGATTTCAGTCTTAACAGTTTAAATGTTCAGTAGTTCATAATATGCTATGAAAAATATTATACTACTCCGATCACTAAACGTAGAATAAAACGATTAGGTTCTAATATTATTACATAATGCACATTTTCAAGCATGACGTATTGAACATAATATCGAATTCAAATGAAATAATTACAATAAACCGTACAATAATCATCTTGAATAAATAAATTTCGGTAAATTGTAATAAAACGCAATCAGTTTTTAATTTAGCTTCAAAAATGTGTGTATAACCTTCAAAACCTGCTGATTTCATATTATTTATTTTCGCCCGTTTATGTACAGAATTGAGTATAGAAACATGTTAATGATGACATATTATGTTTTAACGAGTATACAATACAAATGGATTTGCTAATAGCAAGGAAATTTATGGGCGTATATTATACAAACAAGGAAAATCGACGTTGAACTTAGAATATATTATAATATATATATATAGCACCTGTATTATATTTTTCTCGTTTAATTTATCTGTGACACTTTAATTTTAAAAATTGAGAACATAATAACAATAAGAGTTTTTTGATGGAAATGTGTATAGTGTATAATATTCTATTATCTGCATATTTTGTATAGAAAAGAAGATAAAATAATATACCCAGGAGAAATAGATTCAATAACTACAAAAACGGTTATACCAAATGTAAAACTGTGTTATTATATTTAAAAACAATATTTATTTTGTGATCATAATCCATGCACAAATAGAAAAAATACATGCACATTGGCATAAGGTTTACTTTATGCAAGTCTATATAATATGGTTTTTCATTCAACACGTAGTATACCTAACCCGTGGGTGGTTAGTGAGTTACAACCTAACCAATTTGATACTTTGTATGAAGTTATAATTATATTTTTACTTTAAAAAATGTAGTATAAATTGTATTTAAAAACTAAATTATCTATTGATATTATCAAGTCAATTAATTAATGTCCTATTATAACTTTAAGTTTTATTAATAGCACATACCTGATTTTATTATCACCATTATGTAAAATATATAGTTTATAAAGCTTACGAAATTGATAATATAAGTCAATTAAAATAAATGTCTTAGATAAATTATATATAAACGAAAAAAAAATTGAATGATTTATGGTTATACATGCATATATAAGCAAATATTATACATGATAGTTGGGTGTAGGTACTGCTATTAAGTGCAATGTATATCATTGCATAAGTAATAACATCATTTATAATTAATTATTTTAAATTGTAATTCTGAAACAAAAGGTTTAAAAGAAACATTCACAATTAAGCAAATAACGAACAAGTTAAACATTTAAACTAAGGTATATTTCGTGTAAGTGAAAAGATTCCCTGAATTATTTGCTCAGACTTTTGATTTAAAATCGTGTAGACCGGAAACGATCGCAGATAAGCGCTGTATCAAAAAGTCTCAAGTAAAGTCCAACAAATCGTATTATTACTGAATTTATTAAAAGTGTATGGTAATACTGGCGCTCCTCGATAATGCAGACTTAAAAATATGATTTAACGCCTACTGTAAATTAACCCTTCCCCCCAAAAAAAACATTTTAAATTTCCAATTCCAAATGCATTTAAACATTTACAAAATATGGACAATTATAAAAAAGCAAGGACATTGTATAATAATAATAATTAATAATAATAAAATATGATTTTTATTTACCCCCGCGTGTCACGACTTCCATTTTTATGATTTCGGTGGCGGTCTGTACAGGGTAAATTGTGTAGGCAGTTAATACGACGCAAGAAAATAATATCGCCGGACACTCGCGTAAGTTCGACTGCAGTCTGTTTGCAGAAAAAACGACGGAAGGAAAAAACGTATTTTGACTTTCTAACGACGTGACGGTGGCTTGCATGATGGTTTCATGACCAATCGAACGATATCAAACATGTATATATATAATAATATTATATCAAGTTTATATGTTTATATATAAAAAAAAACTAGATAATCGAACGAATATAATATGTATATAGGAAGTAAAAATAATATAATAATTATAATATTCCGTGTGTCTCGGTCGTGTATAATAAAGCGTTTGTATATTATAGTATAAAAAAACCGATCGGACCGGACACAACACGCACACGTCTGCGACGAATATATAAAAGGTTTCGACTGACATAAAAATTGTCCATTAGCATCTTATAGAGGCCGGTAATTAACGTACTGATTAGAGACATTTTTAACGTTTATACACACACACGATATACATATTATTATTATTATTATTATTATTATACATATGTGCGCGCACCAATTTGTCGATTATGTTGCAGAGATCTTTCACGCGTCTGTCGATTTTCGCCAAGATAATAAAATGAACGCAATATTTTTCAAGTTATAACATGTACGATGTACCTACACCAATACGATTGACCGCGTCTTACCACTAACGTTAGTAACTCGTCTTATATTGTTTTAATGCGTATTTATAATGTATTATTTTGAACGATAATGGCAACAGTTGTCTCCGAGCGGAAAGTCGACCGGAAAAATCAACACGACGACGGAAACAGAATTTCCGCGAACCGTTCGTGGTTCGCCTCGATGGAGTATTATATACCATGATTTAGGCATCGCTATGTGGAGACCGCCTTATTAGTATATCAGATGGTCGCGTACGCTCGCGTTAAACACATAATATACAATACCTACGACATATTATTTATTATTTATATAATTTAATATTAATCACTAGATCGAGGTAAAGAATAATAATATAATATAACACTATCATTATTATCGTATTAAATAGGTACAGTTTCGATTTAGGTTGGCAATACGAAGTCACACCGTCCTCCACACGTTGTATCGGTCGGCGGGTCCTGCTGCAGCTCTAGTACGATCAATTAGCAACGACGACGGGTACAATTACGTAGTGGTTAAGAAACCGAATTGAAAGCCACACACACGGTTGTGCGATTGTAGTGCGCGAAGCTCGTATAAAACGTCGGTTAATTGTATGTGTTTAGATCGTAATGATAATAATAATAATAATAATAATAATAATGATAGAACTGTGTCTTGATTTAAAAACTTACGATCGTGAACGTCATCTGCTGAGTCGCTTTGTCTCCGCGACCGCGTCTGATCCAAGCCATTTTTGCAATGTTGTCTCTGTTTTCGTTTATAGTGTATGCGTATAATGTTTAATCGCGATGACTCGACACTGTCTGTAAAAACACACAGTCTCACAATTATTATATTATATAAAAAAGGTACAATATACGTAGCATGTATGTACTATATGCTTGAATAATAAATACTATAAAATTATATGTAAGTACTCGAGTCGTTGGCGGTGCTTATAAATTTTGGTTTTCACTCTTGAATTCTAATGCAGCTAAAATGTATAATATATAAAATATTATATATTAAGACCTAAGTGGCATCAGTTTGGCGCGCAACTTGTAATCGACCGAAAGTACCGACACGTACGGATTGCGAAATCCCATCGAAAAAAAAGCTCCGGCGTTGATCGATCGCGGTGCACTGCGAAAGCGATGTGATCTATACAAGTCGCCGAAACCTGAGCTTTATATTATATATATACACACTGACCGCACTCGCGAAATACAATATATATAATCGTTATGTGTTTGGTTATACATATATAATATATATATATATGTATATTTGAGTGTGTGACGTGTACCTAAATTGTATTATATTATAATAAAAACAAGCGTAAGACGTATGACGCGACTTGATGCGAGCCTGATGAGTACGTAATACAGCGAATGATGCACACGCGAACGTACTTATGTGTAGGAAAAAAAATTGCACTACTATACTTCGTATGTATATTAAATTGAAATATATAATATCACTATCGTGCAGGTATCTCTGGTATATATGTGAAAAAAATGCGGTCGCGGTGTGTATTATAATATAGTAGTAGAGTGTGTAATACTATTGCAGACGGTGCGGTGTGCGGTGCGTGACTGAGAGGAAAATACGCGTTCTCCGCGGTAGAGTAGGGGGTGTGTGCAGCGTAAAGGTACTCGGCGTGCCAACAGTGTATGGGCATGCCGCCGCCTCGACCGCGTAGAATACAATATATATATAAATATATATATATATTATTATCATTATCAGTCAAACCGGTTGCCGCTGAAGTTTGTCGAGTGGGGGCGAACGGGGTGGGGGTCCGTCAGACGCTCGACTGCGACGGTGGGAGGGCGAAGAGGGGCCGGGGTCGAGGAGACGGGAAACGCTGGGTTATCACTATCGCGGTGACTATAATATTATGATAACCGTGTACGTCGACGACAGGTATATTAATAACGAGATCGGAGAATCGTATTTTGTCGTCATCGCTCAACGAAATCTTTTCCATTCATCTCGACGGCGGTGACGCACCGTGCGCAGCTGCGGTTCACGGACTTTCCCGTAGACCGAATCTTCACCCCCACGCCAACCCCTCCGCAACCCACTACAAGTCGCCGTACCCTATCACACGGCGGGACCCGTTTCGGACGTAAACCAGTGTGCAAGTTCTCCGCGGTATTTCCGAGGGAAACTAAAAAATAAAAAAGCACTAGGTCGTGGTAGCGATGGAGGGGTGGAATTATTAGTAGGCGGTGGGAAACTTATGTCGGCCCATGAGCGACGCGCTCCGTATAATTATAGTATAACCGTGAAATCGGCACGTCGCAAAAAAAAAAAAAAGAAACTGTTATGCGAATATTTCGCCATAAGCCTGCTCCATGTTTTTGGACCGTGGATTTTCCCTCGGCAATTATCGTTTATCGTCATAACCATTATTATTATACATTTATACATCGTTATGTATCTACAGCGGATTACGGCGGCGTGCCGTTAATACTGAGTATCGCGTTCGGCGTTGCACGAAACGCCAAGACATGGCGCCGATGACGACATCATCATTAAGTCGTCGTGTATCGAACCCGCGTCCATTACAACAGTACCAATGTCGACTTATGCCGTTTGTGGTATACCGTAATCATTGTATTGGTCAGTACAAAATGGTAAATATCTATATTTTCGAACCACCTAAGGTTAATTCCGAAATAGATTTCTTCCGAGGTGTCGTGCGCCCATAACTGTATTCATTATCCAATGTACGTGCCTATAGAGTATAAACTATAAGTTGTACTATACAGCGGTGTATATTATAAATTAGGCTATAGTAGCAGTAGCAGCTAGAGTACAAATGTACAATACATAATAATTTATACTGCAGCTACCGTTCATACGTTATTAAATTCTGTAAAGGCTTTTCAATTTAAAAAGTCCTGTTCAGTACAATTAGGCAAGAAAAGTAGATCAAAATATACCCATAAAAATTCAGACAAAATTTAAAAGAAATCATTAACCATTATTATATTATTAATAATACATCAACTGAATAACATGACTTATTTTTTTTAGTTAATGTATTATCGACATTTTAGTAATTGTACAAATATTAAAGTTAAATCTCATTTTTTATCTGTTTCAGTTGGGTATATATTTTATTGTGTAGGTACAATTATTATTTGTGTAAAACATAACAATTATTTAGGACACAGTTTAACACGTAAATAAACTTATAATTGAAAGAGATGAAAGGGCTCTGAGAAGATCTGAGTAAACTATTGTAGATATTTAGGGTGAATGTTCTAATAATGCCCTGTCTTAATGATTTTATATGTATATCAACTGCAAGAAAGAGTAGGCTTTTACGAAAATACTTGTCATTTTTTTAGCATAATATGTTGAAAAAAGCGTAAGGAAAACCTACTGACGACCATCAAAAATAAAACTAATAAGTAAAATCTGCTGCTGCACCATTCGCTTCATTATACCTACATTGAATTTCAAACGAGTTCAAACGTGGTAATTGCTGAATTAATGAACTCTATATAGGTGATTCATCACGGTGTTGTGAAGAAATGGGTTCCGAGCGCATTATTATAATATACGTAGAAGTCTTTAGGTGATCGTTTTAATTCTACCTACTGTATATTATTATGAAGATGATGATACTTGTAATAAACGATGATAATCACAGTTCCGTTTTTGAAGTTTATATTATAACAGTTGATATATACAATTGTGTATATAGAACAATAAATCACATTGCTCTAGAAAACTTAAAAACCGTGCATAAATGAATGTTGAAGTTTTTTTTTCACTAGTGCCTTAAAAAATATACGAATAATTTTTACGGAGTTAAAAAATACGGTTATATAAAAACAATGCGTGCGTTATTATTTACACCTTTGTATTTGCATAGATTGAATTGAATTTGTTAACTGTTGTAAGCTATTTATAAATGTAAGGAATTTTAATTAACTTTTTTTAAATACTCAGCGGCGAGTCATTAACATTGTCTCTGAGTTTATAGTAATGGTAAAATAATAACCATACAATTCATTTTTGTACATTTGTTTTTGTTTTTTACTATATTATTATAACTATATAATAATAATAATATATAATAATAATTAATAACCTTTGTATTTTGTTCGATTCTAAGAGGAGCAATAATGATTTTCTTTTTTTTCTTTGTTACGTGCATCGTGCATGTGAGATGATGATCATTATTTTGGATGTAAGCTAAAATTCTCTAAAATACATGTGTAGAGAGTAGAGACGTATTTGTAAATATATTAGAAATTTATAGAGATACGAATATACAATAATAATAGTTGTACAGAGTTGATTTTTAGGATTTTCTGAGAATTATTGATGCATCTCAAAAAAAGAAAAAAACACGAACACAATCACTGACAAATCTGGTTGGGTATAAGTTTAAAAATAAATTGTACACAAACAAAAAAACAGATTTTTATTGTGTGGTCTAATGTAAAAATCGTGTATTTGAGGTTTTGACAACTATTTAATCACAACTGATTTCTTGAGTCATGGTATCGGGGAAGAGGAATCTTTCAAGTATAATAAGTATAGTATACAAGTTATAGAACCATATATACACAAAATCATTGTTTATCAGTTTTTAATAACTTCGCATGATTAAAATTCATCAACATTTTAAATGTATGATGGGATAACTGTAATATATATTGTACTAAATACACGAATATCTCCACCGAGTATACTTATACAGTTGTGCTATATTATAAATATCTATTATCTAATGTATTAAATAGAATTACAGATGTTTTGTTTATAGGTTTTTTTTTTGTTTGGGCGTTAGTTTTGTTAAATAAGGGTGAGATTTCGAGTACGGGAATTCGGGAAACCATACACCAAACTTCCTACTCGTTTTTGTCCCTCCAGATGGAATCCATTCAATAGCTGAGAAAAAACTGCGCAGTTGTAGTCGATACACTGCTCACATGTGTCGAAAAAAAGGAAACATCAGCAGTGTATATACGACAATGCACGAACTGTATAGAAATTTAAAAAAAAAAAGGTAGTCAAAGTGAGTACCGCTCTGTTGAACATTTTATTGTGTTGTGTGGGTCACTCTAATGGATGTGTTAAATTTGAATTCAATGATATAACAACATGTTGTACCTATACAAAAACCGATTCTGAGCAAAGACGATTTGTCAGCCTATTTATTACTAAGTAATTTTACGATATTATTGTTATTAAAATAAGTAATATTTTTTCCGCAAACATTGAGTTTGAATATGTAATTGTGTGTTTGATTGAAAGTCATCCTTTAAAAGTTTCAAATAAAATGTTTTTTAATTACAAAAAAATAACTAAAAAAAATGTTATTTTTTATTTAAATATCTAATTTTGTCCTAATTTAAACTTGAAATATCTATAAATCATAACCATGTTCAAATTATTTTTTGGTTACAGCTATGGTATGAACTACTTATATGAAAAACCCTATTTTAAATATTCAATGTTTACTTAAAAATTTAAAAATTATATACATTTCTATCTCAAAATAATTTGCTTGATTTCATGACTTTCATGATTTTAACGAATTTTGTTAAAATTGTTCCTTTAAACACTTATACAATATGATTATGAATTTACTCTCAACTTTTCTAATTACACCAATAAAAATTATGAGCAAGGAGTGTATAAAATTTTAAAATTTTTTCGACCCATCGAACAATTATTTATCGACAATATAATATATCCAAAACTGGTTTTGCGTAAAAAGTTACATTCTTACTTAATTTTTTTGCTTTTGTTTTTCTCTGCATTTTTTAAAAAACTTGGAATTTTTTATTTTTGACTAAAGTATTAACTAGATTCAATTTCCTACCAGAAAAAATGTTAAAATTGAAGCATTTATATTGCCCAAAGAACCCATAATATAGTTTGACACAACATTTTTTTTTTTTAAACACGTGGCGTTGTAAAATCAACCGCTTCGCTCAAAATCTAAAATGCACCTATAACTGTAACAAATATTTGTATTATATACATAGCTATTGTCAATGTCATGGCTATAATTGTATAGTTATGAATTATGATTTTTATAACAGTATTAGTTAACTACCAAAACCTATATTATGGAAATTTAACATAGCTATTATTAAACCTTCTAAACATTCTTTATGTGGTATGACTCAATGACTGTTATATTTAAAGAGGGTTTATCAATAACATACCTAATGAATGAATTAATATTATTGGTAGGTTATTGTAGGTATAGTGTCACATAAATACATTATTATATCGAATTGAACAAACGTAAAGAACTTATAAATAACAACTTCAAATACGTTTTATAGTAATAAATTAAAAACAAATATTTGAAAAACAGCCAATTTTTTTATTATGTCGATTATATTGAATTAAAAACAAAAACTTCTTTTTGAACTATATATAAACATTTATGTGTGTGTATATATAAGTACGTAGTCACCGTAAGTAGTTGGTTTATCTTGGGTGATATTACTACCTATATTACTAAATATTAGTATAATTTAATTTGTATTTTGATTATAATTACGACAATCAAATGATTATTTCTTGTAGGATAAATGTAAAATGTACGTCACATAAAAACTTTTTTAGTAGGTAAGTGT